AATACCACCAAAAGAAATCTCTAGTTGTGTGAAGAAAATGCTAAAATTTTAGTTTGGGTACAATGTTGTATGACCGCGAAATTGTCATTCAAATTGTGAGAGTGCTGAAACGTGAAAAATGGCCTGGGCAGGAAGGTGTAAAATTGCCCGGTATGGAAATGGTTTTTAAACATGTCCAGTAAAAAAAATTGTCATAAATTTAGGCCAAAATGTATTCTGCTACATGTCTTTGCTAAAAAAATCCCAATACGTGTAAATTAATTTGTTTACATGAAAGTTATAGCAATTTCACATGGCGGTATATATATTGTGGCAGTGCGGTATCCTGCCACGGTGGAAAATCATGATGGAGACCCAGGATTCTCAACCATGCAGGTTGAGGGGCTCCAGGCAGTTCTCATAATGCAGAGGAAACGGGTTTATAAGTTTCCTCTTTGGTTTGTAAAGCCTGTTTTGGGACCTGTTGCCTGGAGATTTCTAAGAGATTTGGGAGGGATGAAATCTCCAATCCTGGGCCCATATTTTTGGGAGAGCAGCCAGTGTGCTGATTGCACAGGTGTGTGCAGGCCTTTTTGTGGAGGCCAGGCCATGAGTCTGGGCTCCACCCCGGCAGTTAGGAGGGCGCCACCCAGGCAGACGGGAGGTCTCTGCCGTGGAGTCAGGTGGGCTACACCTAGGAGAGGTGGAAGCCAGACTAGCTGTGTGCTAGTGCCATAATTTGGGAAGAGTCTGCAGGAGGCAGACTTAAAACTGCGTACAAGCCAGGAGGCTGAATACTGTTTATTTGAATTCGTGTGATGGTGGATACCCCTGCGTGGGAAGAATTTTGGTTGTTTGAACTTTCTTAAATAAAAGTGGGCAAACAGGCCCTTAAAAAATAAGCGAGTTGCTGTGTGCTTTGAAGAAGCTCTACCACTTGAAGCGAGTTCCCACATATGGTGGAGGATGCGGGCAGAATTGGAGATCCCTGCAAAAGTAAGTTCATCAGTTATGTGAACTGTGTTTCTGTGCAATGGACAGCACAATTTGGTGTGTGTGCAGGTGAGGAGAACCTGCCTTAAAGAGACAGTACTTCATTTCTTTGTTGCTGGACTGTGCAAAAGTGTTGTGAAGTGACTGTGAAGATGGGGCGGTCAAAGCAAAGAAAAGAAGCAAGATTTGCGGAAATGAGAGACGGAGCCCTGTGGCTGGAGGGGTTGTTATCCCCAGAACGAGCCCCCTTACATGGATGAACAGTGTTTGCCAAAGTGGGAAGTGCATGTTGTTGCCGCTGGCAACACTGGTGAAAGGAGACCAGCTATGAATGTGCAGAGTCCTAAGCTGGAAAAAGGCTGCAGTGTTGGAAGTTTGGCCAAGATACTGCCGCAAGAGCGCTGTTTGCGGTGCAGTGAATGGTGGCACACTGTCTCCAAGTGCCCATTATCCCAGCTTCCAGTGCAAGGTGACACAACCAGACAAAGGTCTGGGTATGCAATTGGGAAGCCTGCTTGGAGTTCCAGGAAGGAGCAGCCGGCTCCCCAAAAGTTTCAGAAGATTGTGGTTGCCCATAGCAACACATGTGACTTCAGGCCTGCTGACCCTGTGAGAGAAGAGTCGTCTGCAGAGGATTGTGGCAACGCAGAGATGAGAGTTCAGCGCATCTGGAGGAACCCACAATGTTCAGCTGGGAGAGTGCCATCTCCCATAGCAACAGGAGAAAGCTTGGCAACCAGGAGAAGGGGCTACAAGGGAGATGTGGTTCCTTATCCCAAGAAGGTTATCTGTGGAACCATACCCTGCCTGGAATGTGGTCAGTTTGGGCATGGTATCTTTTCCTGCCCCAGATTATGGAATACCACTGATGAGGGTGCTACTGAGCAAAAGTCTTCATCTGCAAGCCCAGATTCCTTTTTAAAAAATGTTGGCAGCCACCTCTGGCAACAGTGAAAAAGTACCTGTTGTGCCTGCAGGGGGTGCCAAGGAGTCAGAAGTGCCTGCCACGGTATCATCCTATAGCTGCATGGATGAACTGGCTGGCCAAAGCCAAGCAGAGGAGAGACAACGCACTCAAGTGAAGGCTATGACACCTGCTGCAGGAAATGGTAAGACTGTTTCAGTTTGTGGGACTGATTCCAAGGAAGTGAGAGTGTGTCCTTCAGGGAGTTCCACAATACAGATGGACATGGACTGGCTGCTGTGTGCTACCCTGAGTAGTGGGGAGGCACAGGGAGAAGCCCAACGATTAGGACTAAATATGGAAAAGGACATGGGGACTCTGCAGGTGCCTGCTATAATCCAGCAGATGGCTGGGGAAGGTAAACTAGGGGTGACCAAAACTGTCATGGCACCGTGTTCCCTAGTGCCAGGTGCTGCAGAGATGCCCAGGGAAACCTCCCAGGAGCCCGCAGTGACGGAGCAGAGGATTTCCCAGGTCAGCTATGGAGCTGCAGTCATGTCTATAGGTAATGAGAATGCTGATGGTCATGCCAACAAAAGTGTTACTGTTGGTAAATGTAAGGTTATGGGTGGTGATGGGCTAGCACAGCTCACTAAGGATAACAGTGTTGATGTGAATATGATTGAAGATATGTTGTTGCCCTTGGCAACAGTATCCAAGGCTGCAAAGGTGTCCATGGAAACTTCCTGGGAGCTCTGTGTGTTGGAGCCAGAGGTTGCCTTGGACAACTATGGTGCTGCTCTGGACAAGAGAGTACTTGATAATTTAAATGCTAAAACTGGAATTTTTGAAACTGCTCCTGGTGATAATGGGTTAATGGAGTCTGTCAGTAATGACAATAGGTATGGAAGTGTTCATGAGGTGAATGAAGCGCCATCAGAGTACGGTGGTGAGGGTGTGGTATTGCAACCTGTTGAGGTTAAAAATTTAGTGCCACAGTTTTGGTTGAACAAAAGTGATATATGTGATGTGTCTGCTGAGCCACTATGTCCTGTGTCTCCTCTGGCAGTTGGTGCGGTACTGCGTAGTACCTCTGATTGGAGCGCAGAGAAAGTAGACTGGGACAGATGGGCTGAAAACCTGTTGGCTTTGTTGAAAGGGACCTCTGCTTCCAACAGTGGAGTGGACACGACTTCTGCTGTGCTAAATGGAGGGACTGCAGATCAGCTTATAGACAAGGGCACACTTGCTGTTGCTGCAGATGGTCTCCCTCCCAATATGGACGGGCCAAGTGAGATTGAGCACATAGCAGAGATCGTGCCCACAAAACCACAAAGGATCCAATGGTGTAGGATCGAATAGTGTGATACCAAATGAGCCAGTGTTGGTGGAAGTGTCAGATGGCACAAATCAAGTGATTGGGGTCAGTAAACCAAATGTGGAATTGTGTTATGACCGTCAGGTGTCAGGGACAGTTGCTGGAAGACGTACATGTGCCAGTGGAGCTGGTGGATAGCGACGTTGCCATGGGAGACAACCACTCCACGCTGTGCACTTGGTCTCCAGACACTGCCCTGCCAAACTTTGAAATTATTTCTGACAAAGGTGTGGATGTTTCTGGCCAGGAGGAAAAATGCAAGACCCGTGTAAATGTTGATGAGGAAAAGTGCGATGCACTGGTAAATTGTAAATATAATGATGTGGTAGACACAGCTGAGGAAAAAGCTGCAGTTGAATTAGGCCCCCTACAGGTTCAGGAGGGTAGTCTGGGAAGGGAAACTTTAAATAGCTTATCTGCCCAGAGGGAAAACTTTAAGGAAGTGGATAATTTAAAGAGGTCCCCTGACATAAAAACATCTGAAGAGCAAGACAATCGGTCTGTCCTTCAGAAGGATAGTAGGACATTGCTGTCATCTGAGACTGTCAGTGACCAAAGGAAGCATGCAGTGTACGGGGGGGAAACCAACCGAGCTAGGTTTTGTCAGTAAGAAGATGCCTGTACATAGAATGCAGCGAGGGTCTAAGGTAACCCCAATAAAAGAGCCCGCACTTTTTTGTGTTTAAAAGTGTGACCCCTTCAAAGGTAAAGGGAAACCGGCGGTTGAGAGTGCAGCGTAGCTGTAATGTTATCCGACACCGAAAACTCAGGCGTCAACCTCATCCTCAGAAATGTACCAAGTTTTGGAAGTTCCTTAATGGGAAGGTGACTTGGGTGGCCCCAAGGAAAATAGAGAGGCAACGCTTTTGGAAGCGTACCCGTAAAAAGGCACGGAGTCTTTATAGGGCCCAAGTCCATGTAATAGGAGAACATGGGGAAAGTCGCCTCATAAGACAGGAAGGAAAGTTTCCCTTTGAAAGCAATGTCAGTCAGGAATGGGCTCATATGGGTGAAGGCTGGCACAGAGGTGCCAAATTAAAGAGTTTGGGTGTGTGTGTTCTGCCCCCTACGGGATCAAAACAAAGGGGGGGGATATGTGGCAGTGCGGTATCCTGCCACGGTGGAAATCATGATGGAGACCCAGGATTCTCAACCATGCAGGTTGAGGGGCTCCAGGCAGTTCTCATAATGCAGAGGAAACGGGTTTATAAGTTTCCTCTTTGGTTTGTAAAGCCTGTTTTGGGACCTGTTGCCTGGAGATTTCTAAGAGATTTGGGAGGGATGAAATCTCCAATCCTGGGCCCATATTTTGGGAGCAGCCAGTGTGCTGATTGCACAGGTGTGTGCAGGCCTTTTTGTGGAGGCCAGGCCATGAGTCTGGGCTCCACCCCGGCAGTTAGGAGGGCGCCACCCAGGCAGACGGGAGGTCTCTGCCGTGGAGTCAGGTGGGCTACACCTAGGAGAGGTGGAAGCCAGACTAGCTGTGTGCTAGTGCCATAATTTGGGAAGAGTCTGCAGGAGGCAGACTTAAAACTGCGTACAAGCCAGGAGGCTGAATACTGTTTATTTGAATTCGTGTGATGGTGGATACCCCTGCGTGGGAAGAATTTTGGTTGTTTGAACTTTCTTAAATAAAAGTGGGCAAACAGGCCCTTAAAAAATAAGCGAGTTGCTGTGTGCTTTGAAGAAGCTCTACCACTTGAAGCGAGTTCCCACAATATATATATACTGGGCTTTTTTAATGTATGTATTTTTACTAGGAATGGCAGCAGTCAGTGACTTATGGCGGGACTGCGGTGGGCATTCTGACCCTGGAGGGAACTGACTTGGTGTCACTGACATCCCCCGTGACACCAATACAGGGATCAGTGCTAATAAAAAGCACTGACACTGTACTAATGGCAGTGGGCAGGAAGGGATTAACATGTGGAGCGATCGAAGGGTTAACTGTGTGATGTGTGCTGTTTTACTGTGTGCTGTATTAGTGCTTTCCACTGTAAGCACACTGCTTTGTATGGCTCTGCTGCGCAGAGCCATGCAAAACAGCATGCAGGAGCTGACAGGGGAGAGAAATGTAATGTTTACATACAGTTCTTTCCCTACGCCGGTAATGCTCCGTGATCCAGGACCCGGTGAGTGACAGCCAAGGCCGCAAATAGTGGCGTGGGTAGGGCGTACGCCCCCTACCCTGAAATGCAAAATCATGTATATATACGTGATTTTGAGCTCCCCTGCTGCCCTGTAGAAGGGCAGCGTGAAAGCAGTTAAATGTTACCTGAGGCTTAAAGGGTCACTGCACTTTTGTGGGAAACAAATAATAAATAAAAAAATAATAATAATATAGAATATACAATTTCTACACAAGTCATATTATAATTTAATATTATTAAACATTACCTTTTCAATCTGCAGCACTGTAATTTTCTGTAAAATGCAATGCAATATGGTAACCTGGAGGCATACTAGACACAGATGTTGTACAAAACACCCCCCAAAAAATTTAATTTCCTACTTGGCTTACTGATTTTCTCAGAAGTCTGTACTAAGTCACATTTTGGTAAACCCCTGCAATAAAAATTTCATTTTTTGTGAGATGCTCCCAAATATAAATCACATCCAATAGGGTGCAGACCCTTCCACTTTCCTCAATACAACCAGACAAGTGCAGCAGATGAATGATGATTATAAACTCACACCCATTCACATTCATTTTGCATATGGACACAGACAAAGAAGCAGCTATTTTTATTCAGAATAATAAAAGGTAGGAATCTGAAAAAAAATGCATTAAAATCCTTGCAGTGTACATTTGTAGAACCCTCCAAGTTAGCTAGGGGGAGCTAGCTGATTATTTTTTTTAGATAGAGAGGCTGAGCAACAGCCTGGGGAATAGACAGCAGGGGTCAGGGCTGAGAGGTTCTGAAGATCAGTTCCTTGATACCTCTCCTGCTCTAGAATTTTGGAGAAGATTCTAGCAGCAGTGGACAGGGGTGAAAAGGGACTGGGCTGCATACTCAAGGGACTCTGGTGGCAAATCCCCAAACAAGACGCTTGGCATGGGACCAGAGCAGCCCTTAAGTATGACTGAGCCTGCTCAGCAGCATGAGAGTTTGGGTGGAAGATCTGTGGAAGACTGTGATACAGGAGCCTGGGAGCAGGTCCAGTGGGAAGGGGCCTACCTGCAGGCTGGGACTTAGACAGGAGGATCGTTCAACCTCACTGCCCCACAGAGTGAGGATGACCTCTGGAGCTAGGAAAAGATCCAGCCCAACACAAGGCCTGAAGGCAGCCACCTACCAACACCAGCTCACAGGAAAGAAACTGAGTGGGTAATCCTACACCCCTTGGGCCAGTTAAGGTGAAAAGAGCACTCTGGTGGGAAACCTGATTAGCTCCTTACCTCCTTCATATTAAAGTGGCAGGCACTGGATCCCCTTGACCAGAGATTTCTCCAGACAGCTGGATAGAGGAGAACTATCTGGGGTTTGGGGTGGTACAACAGGAGAGCCTTGAGAGCTCTCCAAGAAGAGAAACCCTTCTATGGACATGTACATAGTTGCTAAAGAGTTTGTCATCAGTTTACTGCTCTTTGAGCATCCCATACACCCCTTACCCCATCCAAGTTTAATACCCCTGATAAAACTAATAAAGGACTGTTTACTGTCTCTGGAATGCAAGTCTGAGAAAATGCATGTTGCCTTGCTGTGCAGATCTATAGAGGGACCCAACTCTTCAGCAACTCTTACACATTGATCACCCAAATGTTTTTTCTTTAATTTCATTTGTAAGCCTCATTGTTAGGGTTTACAAAATTTAATTTTAATCTGTTATAATATACAAAATGTAATTTTAATTTGTATATCTCATAGTTAAGGTTTACAAAACTTCATTTGTAAACCCTGACAATGAACTTCTCTTATTTGCTCCCCTTTGGTCTGTTAAATATAAAATATAACATTGGTATGTATCTGTTGATCGTGCCAGAAATTCAGAGCTGTTCTGTGTCCTGTGCACACTTCCTGTGTTATATTAAGGAGTGTAAATTGCCTTTCTAGTTATTTTTTTAGCTGAAGAACAATTAGTTTCTATATTGTGGAGATAAGGAGAGAGGGAGGGAATCAGTAGTTTAGCAAAAGATTACTGGGCAGGGATGACACCATTCAGTCCACTAAAATGCAGTATGTTGTCAGCCCACAATAGCAAATTAGGAGCTGAGAGCATTTCTGATAGATTTTTTTGTTTTGCATTTGCTGGGTTTTTAAAGACATGAAACACAAAGGAATGTGCATGTATTACAGAAATGTACTACATAGTTTTCAATTTGTGAATTATGCATGAAAGCTGTGTGAATGTTGTGTGAAAACATAATATAAATAGGCCCTTCTGAGTGTTGGGGGTAGGGTAAGTGTTAAGTCTCTCGCCGCCACTTTATTACAAATGTAACAAGAAGAGGCAATGTGCAAATTATTGTTTTATGTCTCACTGCGTACATGTATCAAAATGATTAGCTATAACCTAATATACATAGTTATATACTTTCATACTGATTTGCAAATTAATATTATTATTACTAAAAAATATTATTGGTGATAGTAATAGTAGAAGTATATATTTTTTAAATTCTAAAAAAGGTAGAATAGAGTAGAATAATAAGTGGAGAATAATAATCAGTCTTTAACCAAGAGCTTAAAGTGGAACTTTAAGTCCTGATAGATCACTTCAGGCCGGCCCCTTTTGCATAGCTATGTACAATATAAAAAATACGTGCCTAAACTGTTTAAAATCTATTAATGCAATGTCACACCCTGTTCTGCTGAAGGGGGAGGAAAACAGTAATGACACAGACGGTGCAAAGGGAACACAGATTAGGGAAGAAGAAAAGAAAACCAGGAGAGGTGACAGGACAAACTCTGCCGCTAGGGAGACACAAAAGAATTAAAGAGTTAAATTTACAACCCAACTTCTTGAACGCCTGGTATACAACCAACTAAGTGACCACCTTATTAAGAATATCCTTCTTGATCCCCTTTCAGTTTGAATTTCTCCCTCAATACTCCATAAAAACTGCTCTCCTGAAACTCTCAAATGATTTACTAACAGCCTAAACCAATGAACACTATTTTATATTCCTACTTCTGGACCTTTCAGCTGCCTTTAATACAACTGACTATCTCCTCCTCAAAAAAAAAACTTTACTCCTTGGTCTTTGTGAATGTTCTCTTCTTTGGTTCTCATCGTACCTATCCCACCACACCTTCAGTGTCACTTACAATTTCACTTCCTCCTTCCTCATTCTTTCTCTGTCGGGGTACCCAAAGGTCCTTGGACCACTCCTATTCTCGATCTACACCTCCTCCCTGGGTCAGCTGATATCCTCCCATGGCTTTCAATATGCTGATGACATTCAAAACTATCTCTCTACCCCTCACTCACAACATCAGTCTCCTCACGTATCACTAACTTACTGACTGATATATCAGTGTGGATGTCACACCACTTCCTCAAACTTAATCTATCCAAAACTGAGATCATAATATTTCCTTCCCCACGTGCCCCTTCACCTGACTTCTCTGTCAAGATCAATGGCAAAACCATCAACCTGTTCCCCCATGCCAATTTTAGCTATTCTTTTGGCCCCACATTCAATACCTGTCCAAAGTTTGCCCCCTCAACCTCTGCAACTTCAACAAATTATGCCCCTTCCTAACCAATTATACCACAAAGCTTGTAATTAACTCCCTCCTCATAGTATTACCTTTATATAAGCTATCACCCTTCAATCGATCATGAATGCTGCTGCCAGACTCGTCCACCTAACCAACTGTTCATTGTCTGCTACCCCTGTCTGCAAACCCCTTCATTGGCTGCGACCCAATCAACAATTTAAATTCCAAATGCTAACAATGACTTACAAAGTCATCCACAACTCGGCTCCCAGCTACATCACTATCCTAGTCTCAAAATACCAACCAAACCATTCTCTTTGGTCCTCCCAAGACCTCCTGCTCTCAAGCTCCCTTGTCATCTCCTACCATGCTCAACTCCAGGACTTTTCGAGAGCCTCTCCCATCTTATGGAACTCCCTACCTCAATCTATAGACATAAATATATGCAGCGCTAAAAAAAGAAATAACGAAAAAATAAAAATATTAGCCATAAATGGTAAACAATATGAAATGAGCCACATGTAAAAAAGCACTCAATGACGCTAAGACCATAAGTGCCAACTGTCTCATAAATAGATACGTCCAAGGTGCATGTGATTATATTGGTGACAAAGTCAATCTATCCAATAGCAATAAAGCATGGTGAAGAAATCAGTGACTCCTGTGGCTGTGAAAAATAGGTGTTGATTGCACTAACCAGACAGCGCAATTTCTTGCGCATTGGAGTATATTTAGGACCTACTCCTGGTCATCTGGATCTGGAACACTAACATCAGGGTCATCAGGCCAGCAGCATCCAGGTAACACACATCAGGAGGGGATAGCCCATCTCCGGGTATTCAGTCATCAGCCACCAGGGGGATCATGCACGTTCTTATATGCCCACTCAGCAGAAGTCACCTTAGGAGAGGGGGGGGGGGCTCACAGGAAAAACCAAGCCCAAAGAGGGAAATATCCAATAGTGTAGTATTTATTGATAATCAATAATATTAAAAAGCAGATGAATAGACTTACATCAAAAAATTCCAAGATGGCCGCCAGCTGTCCATAAGAGCCGTGCGGAGTGTGGTCACTGCTAGGGGGCACTTCCATGACGCGTTTCGTGTAAATACACTTTTTCAAAGGGAGTGTGCCAGTCCAAATGACATTCTATTTATAGCGTCTGAAGCGCATGCGCTGTGTAACGCTACCGTGTCATCGCGGACTGTTCGCACATGTGCGATACATGCGGATGGCGGCCATTTTACTGGAGATCGCCACATATTAGCAGGAATAGAAGACGTCTCAGGGGGAGAGTTCCATTCTGATCAGTTTTATGTTAAGTATTGTCAAATAGGTGCAATCAAATACAAATTGCTATACATATCGCAACTAGCGATCCAGGGATAAATATCATATGAGGTAAAATAAAGTTTGAGGACACGTGTGAAGTTAGATTACACAGTCTCCATTAACGTGTGGGCACTGAGACCGGAATTATTACATGGAAAGCGTCTCTACTGTTATACTTGTGGGCCTACAGGTAAATAAGGAACCTCT